ACACTATGGTTTTTTTTTTTTTTATATGGGGTTTCTTCCGTGCAGGAAACGCGAGCACGTCCTTCTCTCTGTTTATGGAATTTCCAAATACTAAAACAGGAGCCTTGGAATGCTGTGTTTGTTTACGACAAGGAAGTTTCAACTTTAGTGTTTTCAAAGTTTGTATGTAATAGGTACCTGATAGCCTTTTTCGATTTTGAGAAAAATGAACACTTTTATATTTTAAAACTCATAAGATAATTATAATAGGAATTATATTATATATATTGGAGATTAAATTATAATAACTAACATGATTGAGAACACTGTGAAGTGACCTTTAGTCACTTTTATRAAAGAACACCGACTGATAACAATATCAGCTGCATATAGTGCATATTATCGTGTATAGAAATAATCTATAATATTATATGCCTATATAAAGGAAATTATAATTTTATATGCAGTTAATATAATATTTAATTATTTATTTTTATTGCGTTGCGATGTATGCGAGTCCATTGCGGAAACACACGATTGTGACAATCAACAATGTCTGTTGGTTTCTTTTAAAAATTTGAAAGCAGCAATGCGACRGCCGACGGGGGTGCAGGGCGGGTGACCAGCCGGGAAATCGTCGATGTATATTTATATAACATGCGTATATACCTACACGTGTGAAACTCAAAGTGGAAACTCGGATGTGCATTAATATTGCACCTATATAGGTATATTAAACTATACTRTATGTGYATATATATCCGGTCGGGCCGATTAATCGCCTGTCGCACGTGTGTGCAGGACGAGGCAAAAGACGGCGCGGTAAGAACCGGGAGTTAACGAGAGATCGATCGGTAGTTTCCTTTAGAGCGGCCTTACACAAACGTCCCATAYATATATATGTAGACACGCAAATAACACTATATTTACGTGTACATATACAAACACACACATACACACGTGCGCTGGCGAAGGAAATTGTTCATGTGTATATAGAGTTTTGTGTATATATATGTGTATAAATATGCGGAGACGTGTGCGCCGCGTTAGGACGATTCGCGAGAGAATAAGAGACCTGGCGAGAGGAGGCGGTAACGACGACGGCGGCGGCGGCCAAAAAAAGAATAATATTGTTCTTTCTACACGTATACGGATGCTGCATGCGAGTGTTTTTTCTTTAGCTGTACCCCCCTGCTCCTCCAGTCATCAGTGTGCTCTGGGTTCGTTATTTCGCGTCGCGCGCATTTCCATATTATATACGTAAACACACACACACAAATATACAAACTATATATATATATGGGTACCGCCGGGGTGGACGACGACGGAAGAAGAAAGAAGTAGAAGGAGGAAATAAATTACGAGCTTTGGTATCGGATGAGGACCGGTGGGAGGGCGAGCAAAGTCGGCGGTGGGGTAGACAAAAAGGC